GCATTTTCCGCCGAATGAGACTAGTGTAGTGCTGACGCGGCTGCCGCTGCAGCTGGTGCTAATGTTGTGACACCAGCGATGTCACACGGCTGGTGATAACACGATATCTGGCTGCTAGCTGCTACCACCACCTGACGCATTGTTCTCTATTTACTTTGGTTGTTGTTTACTGGTGGTTGCTGTTGTCGCCTTCAGCGGCGTAATACTAAATTAATAGCATTTGTAAACAACGTTTAATCCAATGGAATTGCTCTACAACACGCACTAGTGTCGCGACAAAACAAAGGCGAGCAAGAGAGCACTCGCACCTCAACAAGCAGCACCAGCACTAACACTACAACAACTAAAATAACAGCAAAAACACTAACAACAACACCAACAATGACAACAAAATGACATTACAGCAACAACAACGTGACAACACAAGTGCAATCAACTGCTCATCACACCCTCCCGCTGCTTGTTTAGCGGTATGTAGGCTTCGGGTGCTACACGTCGTATACGTAACAATAAATTGCTAGTCATTCCCTACTACTATGTCTACTCCCCTTGTGCAACAGCAATCTCTGTGTATGTTATTGTTGTATTTTTTTTGCGGTCTGACACAATGACCCTTCGTTCCGCCCTTTCATGTTCGTATTCGCATTCACAATAATGCTGTCAACTAACCGCATTTGTTTTGGTACGGCAAACCGTGTCGACAGCGATGCGAATTTATTCACATTAAAAGCAGACACTCAAACGCGCCGTGCGCTTCGGCACAATCACAACAAGCGCCCACTTGTAGGCACCTGTGCTGGAGTGTGTGCATATGTCAGGCACGCTGTGGCAATGCTGTGCTTAAGCCTTCAACACCACACGAAATCATCTGTGATTTTGGTTTTTTCACCCGTACTTTTTTCCTTTTTCTATTTTCGCTTTTCACATTGCTTTTTATCTGATTTTTTTTCACCCATTGGTATGTTGAATTTGTCGTAATGTGTCGGCAAACTTCGTGTCGCAATAAAAGCATAAGTGACTGAGCGCTTGAGTGACGGGCCTTTGAATCAACTTGTGGTTATAAAGGACATATCAGCTTCAAACGCTTTGCACCGGTGGACTTGATTCAAATCTTAAATTCTTGTAAAAAAAAAACTATAACTGTTTTTGCATATGTGCAAGCATAAAAAAATGTACATACATGAAGGTGTGTGTGTCAAATATATAAATATATTCCATGTGTTTTTGGGTTTTTAATATTTGTTTATGAAATAATTACAGTAATTGCATTAAGTACTGGTTTAGAACAATTTTAGTTTTAATTGAGGTCTTGGAAAAGGCTTACTTTTTTATGATTCGTCTCCAGTAACGATGCGTTTAATAAAAGTAAGGCTTTGAGATACGCTGTCAAGCATCTCTTTCGCGACTTCTACTCGAAGTTTCTTTTACAAAGTCTCTTGGTACAAACAGCTGCTAAACGTACACTAATTAACGCATAGAGATCAAACTTTACACGAACATAAATACAAAATTGTGTACTAATGAAAGAAAAATTATTTTACATAATAAAAACATAATACAGAAAATATAACGATAAGACTCTCTCAACCTGCACAATTTGAAATTTTAAAAGTTCCTTTACTTTCTAAACTCTTTGTATCTGACATATAACCTCTATTTCAAAAGTGTTCTGTTTTATCTTAATATTGGATCAGAATTTTTCTGATTTTCAGTTGCTAAAGTCGATAAAAGAGCATTTCTCCGCTTTAAACCGACCCAATAATCCATTTACTGAAACACAAATCCTCTTACAGCTCCGTTAAATAAACCAAAAATACTTTAACTCTCAAAAATCTTAGATGTATGAACGACGATTTCCATTATAATGTCCGCAAAATTTTGTCTCAGCAATGAACGAATTTTCGTAAGATTTTCATTGATTTGAAAACTGCATTAATTCAGCAAATGCAAGAGGACAATATAAATGCTAGATAAAAAAGAACCACCAGCATTGAGAGCCGAGATACCTGATCACAGACTCTGTGAAGAAAATTTGTTTTGGAAATAAAAATAAAATTAAGTATGACAACATGTACGATCTTTTTTTTTCCTTTTGCAGCACATTTAAAAAAATTTTTTGGAAAAAAGTTTTCAGAGCGACAATAACTTCGAACATGAGTTCTTTAGTTCTCTTAATGTCCATGAACCGTTTTCAAAGATAAAAGAAACAATTAGTATTTTGAATTTTAATTATATTTATCAGCACAAACTCAATCGAAATTGACAGAGTGTCTCACAAGATGATTGAAATGATTAGTCAGGCCATCAGAAACTTGGAAAATAATACAACTATTTCGGAATTACAGACCTAATTTGTATGGCATTAGAATAGATATATAACAACTCTTATGCATTGAATATATTCTGGTCCTCGCTATACATTGTTTAATTTTCATCCAACATTTTAGAGAATATTCGTAACTATGTGTGATTCTGGAACGAATGCTTAGTTGCATTAACATATTTCCACATTTAAACTAAAAATCCAAAGTAGTCGGACTTACGAGTCCTGCCAAAAAGTGATAGAAAAAATGGAAGAGCTGAACTTTGTTATATTCGTTAATGAAAGTTGGAAGCCATTTTTACGTGATTGGAATATTTCTGTTAAGTTTCCACTCCATTTTAGTTGTTTGACTTGCCACTTAATGGATTTAGTGATATCAACTAGACTATTTCTAGAAACTCCAAATTTAAAAGCTTCCTTCTATTAAATTCATTTGATTACATCGAGTTGAAAAATAATTCTTTATTTCAGGAGTGAGAGCTTTAATTTCTGCTATTACAACTTAAGTAGCCGCATTTCAACGCGGTTGATATAATCAGCGTTGCAGTTAAATTTAAAGAAACCAAAATAACAATATATTACTAGACTTAAATTTTAGTGCTCTAGGCATTTAAAAAAAACACATATCTACGCATATTGAAAACTTTATTTGCAAAAATAGCAAAAGATCGACCAGAAAATAAATCAATATTTGTCAAGAGCAATATTATGTTATATCTTGTATCTAGCTATGGTTTCAATGATGCATAAATTAACCACTTTTTTCGCCGGTCATTAATTAGATTGCTTTGTTAAGTAGTTTAACAATTTCATTTATAATTTCAGACAAACGTAAACAGTTGTTTTTTTTCCATTATGCAAATTTAGCTTAGTTTGTAATATCTGTGTGCATAAATTATTATATGGTATATATCTGTGGAGTAATTTGTTTACATAAATAACTTTGACAATAAAGCATTTATTTTAAATGCTTTAATCTATAATTATTATTTGCTTTTAAGTTGTCTCAATCATGTTAGCCATTAAACTATTATTTATGCAAAGCAATTGACTTTGTTCCAAATACAACATTGCTGCCTTGACAAACAGACTGCTTGCGTGTGTTTGTGTATACATGTGTTAATATCAAAATGCGACAAATACACGCAACAGTTAGCGCAAAAAGTGTAATCGATGAAGTGCCGCATTTCCATTATTTAATTATGATGTGAGCAGCTATTTACGGCAGCGCTTCAATTGTGTTTTAATTGCATTATTTATACATTAAGCCGCTTATTTGCTGCGAATTCAGCGCCGTTATCTTAATTTGAACAAATTGCGCTGCAAAAACGGCACAGTGTGTGATATAATTTATACCGCATTAAAAACGCATTTTTTACTGCTTTTATATAATAATTTGTATTTTTTTTCGATCTCAGTACAAATGAGTTGTGAAAATATGTTAACAAATTGTGCAAAAAACTGATTATTTTTTGCCATAAATGAGGTTACGTACAAAGCCGATCATATATTAATGGCGCTTGAGGATTGCACAGAGTTTGTGCAAAAACTTTTAATGAAAATTATGAAAGCGAAGAAAATTGTGAGTTTCGTTCAAGGCCTAGATGAGTTTTTCATAGCTGTTAATATTCGAAATTTTCATGTTAAAATAATAATATATTATTTATAATATTATATTATATTTTTATAAATTAGTATATTATTTAAGATTTTTAGAAGTGCCAAATCCATTTCTAGACATTGAGTGCTGTTGCAATATACAAAATAAGCTTTTTTCTCACATTATTCTTAGGAATTAAAAAAATTATTAAAAGAAGAAATTAAGAAAAGAAGAAAACACGGAGCTCACATGACCATATTGTAATATCGTTAACAGAGCTTGCCTTAACATTATTAGCTGCCTTCATATTTAAGGATTTTCTTTACACTAACCTCAAATTGTTTTTCCTAAATTAAAGTATATTTTTTTCAATTTCTTTAACATTATTAATTCTTCCGCCATTTAATGACATTGTCCACACTAACATACAAATTTGTTTTAACTACAAGTGTACAGAAAAAAGTTTCTAAAAATTTTAAACTATTAACTTTCCTTTATAATTTTCTCATTAGCTGTTTGACATTTAAAGATTATTTTCCATCTTAACATTAAATTTTTTTCCACTTAAAATATTCCAAAAAAAATAAATAAAAACTTTCAATTAAGTTTTTTAAAACTTCCTGAACATTATAAGCTGTTTTGACATTTAAGGATTTTATCGTACTAAAATAACATTTGTTTAGTAAAAATACTTAAAGAAAAATTCAAAATTAAATTTTCTTGTCATTTCAAAAAAAAAAATTGCTTGAGTTATTTATTTCTATCCAAAATGGATTTCTTTATAGTGTTTTTTTTTTTTGAAATTCAGAAATTAAATTTAAAAAAAAAGTTCCAAACTTTCAAAAAAAACTTCAATGCCTCTTTTTTTGATTTTTCTTTTCGCTCAAAAGTTACTTATAAAATTTCAGTAAAAAAGGAAGATTTTTTCGTTTTTTATTCGTAAAAAACTGTTTTCGTTGCACTAACCACTATCTTATCAAAATTTATTTTGATTCGATGATTTTTTGTTTTGTAATTTCAATAACCTTTACCCATTTTTTTTTTGTTGTTTTGTGTTGCTACATTTTTCATACTTACCAATTTCTTTGATGGCGGTTTACAGACAGTTGCTACAGCATCTGGATTTGTATAAACATACAATTGCTGTAAATTTCCCTAATTAAAGTAAATAAAATAAAGTAAGTACATACATACATAGCAAAAACAAAAAATCGCCTTTACGCCGCAAACTTTTGGGAAAGTACACATTGTCTTTATTTTGGTGAAAATCAGAGAGTTCGAAAAACATATTTGTATATACAAGTATAGAAATTTGTTTGAATCTGCCAATTGAATCTAGAAATTAAATGTTTGGAATCTTAAATTTTAAATTAACTGTTTCAAAATTCATCAAATTTGCGTTCCAAATATTTATCGCTTTTTAGAACGCAACACCCTCGCAACGTTTCCTTAATTTCCAAATTTTTTTTTAATATCCTCTCATTTCGTAGAAAATCTTTGCACAGCGTACTTGCAACGCATACTCTCCTCACATATTGTAATTATAGCACTACAACGCACGTAAGCAAATGTTTAGCGGAGTGGCGCAAACGAAATTTAAACACGCAACAACAACAACAATAGCCAAAAGCTATCGACGCAACGTCAGCGGTGGCGGTGGCAGCCACTTTGATGTGAGTTCATAATGTTTTACATGTTGTTCGACAAGCCTAGCAATTGTTGCTTGCCACATACAAGCTATGCACTTTATTTTGACACTGCCACTGCCACTGCCTTACCTTGCTACTGTGGCATGCAACTTCTATAAGGTGAGGAGCTTATGTATGTATTGGCACGCCATTTCAGTATATACACATGTACATATGTGCATATGTGTGTGCATGTGTTCGCTTTTCTGCTGCCTTGAGCTGTCAGACTCATTAGCATTTTTCTATTGCGTGCATATAAAGCTGAGGCGCATTCGATGATGGTAAGGAGGGGAAAATGTAGATTTATATGTATGCAAACGTGTTTTTATATTCACTACTTGATTATGTTGCTATGTACAAAAGCATGTCATAAACATTTACAATAAAAATGCTACCCATTCCGGCAAATATAGATAAATTAATAAAATTCTGTAAATTCTGGTTTTGTGAAGGTTTCGGAAAAAAAAATTAAGTAAAACTTTTCTCACGAAGTATTTACTTTTTTTCCGTTGACGAGTTTTATGAAGAGCAAAACATGAATGGTAAATCAATAATTGCATAAATATGGTTGAAAATTATTTATTAAACTATCGCTCATATGTTAACAACACTGTTAACAAGTCTTTAAGAGCGCCTTCGTTTAACTTATTAACTATTTTGACGTTCAGGGATTTTCTGCACTCTAAAATACAAAATAAAAAATGTTCACCAAAAAATTTAAAAAAAAGTTCAAAAATTTAAAAATATTATTTAATTTTAAAAATTTTGAAATTGATTTTTTTCTATGGCGGCAACTTCATTTTTTATTTTATGGAAAAATAAAATGTTTTTAAAAAAGTAAAACATAGGTCCAATATATTGACATGTTTCTTGCATTGAAGTCGTTAGTTATAATTTATTTGTATTTCAGGTTTTATATGCACCTAGCTATATACCTGTATGTCATTATATACCACTGTATATAATATTATGTACTTCAAATATTATTTATTTCATTCAATAAACTACCTAATCCCTGAGGTGTTGCAACTTTGATCCTTTATCAACTTGAACTCTTTCACCTTCCACCGCCACTTCTTCACCACACTAACACCACAAAAATTGTTTTTCTTCGAAAGAAAAAATTTGCACTCAACTGTGAATAAAATAAATGACAAAATTTTTTCACTTTTCTGCCAAGCAGCGCCATATTAGCCCAAATGTTGCAACTCTAATAAGTTACTAGTTCGCTGACACGACAGCTGAGCAGCGCAACAAAAACACAACAACAACAGCTAAGGGAAAGTAGCAAAAACACACGCACACAAAAAACAAGGTAAACAAACTAGCAACAACAGGCGTCTGGTGGCACAGCTGGCCTTGCGCTGCCATTTTGATAAATGTGAAAGCAGCGGAAGTTTGCTCGAGATTTACGAGTTGTGGCAGGCAAACGCCAAGCTTAACTACAAGCGCCACAGCAAAATAAAAACTAAGCACTGCCGCAAACTAAATGCCAACATTGGATGTGGTGGAAGCTGCGACTGCGCTGATTCTTGTTGGCGCACTATTGCAGCAAACCAAGTGGCACAAGTTGGTCTTGCATGCCACAAACGCAGATTTTCATTTTCGACACGTATAAACGAAAATAACTGTAAACTTATAAAAAATTACATTTCAAGACAAATTTACGCCACATAAATGAAAGAACTAAGCAACTTTGTGCAGAAAACAAAATTGAGGAAAGTAAAGCGTAAATGAAGAGAATTGAAAATAATACTAAATAATAAGAAAATTTGAAATTTCTTGAAAGTGAAGCTAGTGTTTCTATAATATACAATTCTTATTTATTTTATGCCACAAAATTGTTGCTTTCAAAAACTGAATCAGAGTATCACGAAAACCACACAAACAACTCAGCAGAGAAAGAGCCGAAGACAGTTCTTATCACTTACCGTTACCTTGCAGTACTCGTAAAAGTGACATGCCCATTTATTAGGACAACACTTTCAGTGTTCTTGTGTACCTTTCTATGTATTTTTCGTTTGTTACTTTTTTATTCGTGCTGCCCTGTTGTCTGTCGCGTTGTCATGTTGCTCGTTTGCTCAGCTGTTTACTTCGCTGCTTGTCTGCCTACGTTGTTGTCACGTTATCTTGTCATTTTGATGGATTTCGGCTATAAGTCTTTGTGGGCACAAACGAGCTACAAAAAGATACAACAACAAGGTGGCAACAACGCGACAGGTGGCAGTTGGCAGTTGGCAGGCGACACTGCGATAGTGCGAAGTGCCAAAATCAACGACAACCACAACTCTGACGTTGACGCCGCACAGTTCACTTTTGACTAGAAATCGTTAGAGCCAATCCTAGTTTGTTTTAGCCGCATGGATCTGAGCGAAGCAGGTGAGCCAGCATGTACATTTGCGCGTAGATAAAGATCTAAATCTAATTTGTGGCTGTATTTGCGCGCTCTAGTTCTCAGTGAGCTCGGCTGCCGGAGCGATGATAAGAGTTGTTGCAAAATTAACGGAGGGCTGCTGTATTGGTTTAGAAAGGAATAATTGATATTTTTAGTATAACTAACATGTTTGTTTGTAAGTTTAATTTTTTTTTTTCAATTTATGAGCGATGAAATAATGCTTTTAGTGATTCAGACAATACAGAAAAAGCTTCTAGCTCTCAAACAGAAATACTTAAATTTGACCATGTTTAATCGAAATTTTTTTCGGATTGTTCAATGTAATACTCGGATGGTTAAAAACCAAAGAGTTGCTGAAAGCTGCCACCTAATGAAAACATTTAAGTTAGATAAAAAATTATAAGTTACATAAATGCTAAAATGAGAATATGGAAGTTGAAGCTTGCATTAAAAAAAATTGAAAGCGTTGCCACTTAGCTAAAACTGCTAAAAATATTGATTTAATGTATACAGTAATACAAAGCATACATCAAACCAAACACCATCACAAATTCATAAAATAAATTTAATATTACAATAAAAAAAGATTTTAAATTTATTTTAATTTAAACAAATTAACAAATATCATGAACCTAATTTTGAATGGTTTGCTCGAAAAATTATCCTGTATAATTAAGTATATTCTCATCCAAGTAGCTAAGAAATAAACCCAAGGTGAAAGTGATCGCTAAGCTCGGCGAGCGAACTCTAGATCTGCTAAGAGCGAAAGTTTAATGAGAACTTTAAAGTCGCGGTATCATAGCTCGTTCTCTTTAGGGATGGAAATGAACTTTAGATAAGTGCTAGCGCGATCACAGCTTATACTGAAACTTATCTGTGGCACCAAGACAGTTACGTTATATATAAAATTTAATTAAGATTACCAATGAATCATCTAGTATATAGTCACAATGGTCTTGAAAAACAGGGTGAAAAGTTCCCGCTAAAGCAAAGTGAATTGAATTAGTTTTTAAGTTAAATCGTCCTTCATGATTATTAAATTATATTGGCATGTTTTAATAAATCGACAATATAATTCCATTCGGAATATAAAGCCATTAGTCAACCGCTTTTTATACCCATCCGTTATCGGAAATTGTAAACTTTAACTTTTATGAATGAAAAACTCTTTGTAGAAAAATAATGTCACATTTAAATCAAAAGCAAACAATCTCTTATTTAACATATTTACTTTATCGACCATTGCTTCACCACTTTTGCTTGCCTCAATCAATAAAACCTTTTAAAAGCATACACACCGTTATAATGAACATACTTGTAAACAGAGCAGCAAAGCAGCCAATGCAACGGCTGAAACATACGCACATGCGCATAAATACATTGTTGTTGACAGCAATATACAAGCGACGCATTGCACATCCGCCACTCGCTCTGCTTTCAGCGCAGCGCAGTGTATTGTTGCAAGGCGAGATTTCAAATTGAATGCCCACTTTTAATTAATTTAATTAATTGTAATACATCAATGGCGGTTGAATAAAGCATTCCACATGCCTGAACACTATTAAATGTGCGCAGACAGACATACTTGCGTTCTGATAAAATATGTGTTTACATTGCAGGCAATTCAATAAATCCAACGCCAAATATGGCAGCTGAAATCAGCTCCATTTCATGTCACTGATCAACTCCGCCAATGACACTGCGGCATAGACGACTGCTTCGGTGTTGCAGACGCGTGTGTGCGTTTGTTTGTTTTCGCATGCGTCTGCTGTCTTTCAATGCCTTTTGATATTCTCCGCAATATGGTTGAACTTTAATTGAATAGTTATCTCATTTTTAAACAGACCAAATATCGGTATTTTAATAAAAAACTTTAAAAGTCCTCAAAAGTAGTATGCAGTCTAATAGTTTTTGAAACGAAATTTACAACTTTTATTGAATACTTGCGGTTGCTTTCGCACTCCGCGCTTTTTAGAGTTTAGTATATTTTAAATTTTAAATAAATACATGCCAATTATATGCACAGCAAGCAATAATGTGCACACACGCTTGCATATGGTATATAGAGACCA